AACTACCCACATGGACATTCTGCTTCAACACCAAGATTTTCTGCACATTCCCTATATCATCTTTGACCAACCTGCTCTATCATTATGCAGCTACAACTTCAAGTAGTGAGTTTTGATCTTTTCACTGCCATCCCCACATAATACAAATGTTTTGTTTGCAGAATCAGAGAATTCATTTGTTTTACTATGGTATGTTTATCTTTCATGGTTTTCCTCTATTCTTTGCATTGCAAAGTACTCCCCTTGTGAAAAAATATGGTTTTAATCTAACGTACCATTACAAAAAGTGGGTGTAATTTGTGGAGAAAAGGCACTTTTGAAAGCTTGCATGTATTTTGTGAGTTAGGAAAAATGTTTGGAAAAATTTGAAGGACCCCAAACCTCAAACTTGTGGGGTTACTCCATCCTTCCCACGTATTTGCAACACCCAATCACAATTAAGGAAATTATTTTAAAAGTATGTATAAAAAGAAACACAATATGTTTAAGTTGACAACATATTGCTGAAACCACACTAGATCAATTGGGAATTTGAGATGTCATAAGCATTTTAGGCTATGCAATCAAATAGTCTCCCAGGATTTTACACACTGCTAGTTAAGAAAACAAATTTTCATCTTACATTTTGCAAGCTGTCACCTTATATACAGTATATCAGAAAACTTGCCATGACTGGTTTTACTGCCAGACCTCTTAAGAGCTAATTGGTTAAGCACCTGGGCAGGAAGCTTTTTGGCAGAAATGCTATTTTCTGCAAGGACTAGCCATAAAGTTCTGGATGGCAAATTGTAATCATTAAGGCTCCCTCCTCTACAACAGAACACATAAAATGTAAATACATTGCTTGGAGAAATTACGATGCATAAAAGGACAGGCTGTGTTTTAAGTTTGTCCAATGACTTACGGCTCAAATTTGAACATGGAAAGGATCTTATGCTTTTTTTCAGGGTCAAGCTTTCAGCAGACTTCTTTAATCGCACCCAGAAAAATGAGAATCACATCTGTTTGCATCCACCAAAACTGTTATTTGCATGTCTAAATTTTAAGTTGCGTGTACAAGCAGGAGTTGCAAATACAATGACTCGCACTGGTTTTTCAAACACAGGGATTTTGTACAGACTACAAAACAACACACATCAGTGACTTCTCTTGTAAGTGTAGACTAGAAGTTCTGCTGAAAATTTGTCTCCAGGAAATTGTATGTTTCTTCGATATTGTGTGAAAACTCATAGTGTAATCTGCTGCCTGGAATGAGTTGAATGTGGTGGTTTGTGAATATGTGTTTGAATTCCAAACAATGTTTTGGGCTGATTATGTTGGTGGAATATTTTATGGCGTGTTATTCATGAGCATTGTCATGACTGCAATTACTTTTTCGTTTGTGTTGATATTTGATATGTTTGGTTCTTTTTGGACACAATTTTCAGAAGAGCCAGATGCCAACTTTCTCTACAATTCACTGAGGGGAGGGGAGGTTTCTAATTTGCTCAAAAATACTGGAGTATTTCTTTACACATAAATTTACTACTTTATAAATATTGCCTGCCTGTAAATATTTCTTTTCATAGGCAGACGAGACTATGCAAAACCGTTATAGTCCTAGACAGAAAGAATGTAAATAAATAGCAATTTGTTTTCAGGGTACTTCATTTTACCTGTGACTGTTAGTTGTTACTTATTTGTTTTGGTAATTTAGATTTAAATTTGCATTAATTTAGATGCAAATGTTAATTTCTGTGGTGCAATTTTGTGCACACTTGTTGACAACTATTCACAAACTTAAAGTTAAAGCAGATGCATACATTTACAAGGTCTGGAGAGCTGAAAGGAAATTATGTGATTTAAAGACAGATCACACACTGCTAGTAGTAAATAGCAAATAGTTGGCATTATTCAGAATAGAAAGAGCATCTATGCATTTTGAAATATCCTTGGCATAATTTATAATACAAGTATCAAATGCCCATGCTGTTGTAATTAAGCTCCAGTAATATCAGGATCTCAACAAGATAATGAAGAAAAAGTGGGAACTTCCCCCTCGCGCTAAGTTAATTGTTTTGTTTCTTCCTCAATTTCAACTTTTTGTGGCCGGGTGGTCAGAGAAGCTCATTACAGCCTGACAATGTGGTTGAATCTGGCCTCTTTTAGACCAAAGCAGAGAATCCTCCCCCCAGGATAATGCCCTGTCAGCTGCCTCCTCCTCAAGCCATGCCAGCACAGCGTGGGCTAGGCTCAAGTGGAGATGGGAGCTGCTCTTGGCTCTGCCTCTGCCCAGAAACATCATGCCACCCGTGTGGGGCTCCACCTTGGGATCCAAGAGATGCATTCTTTTCTTTTCCCTATATACTTCGCGTATGCTTAGGGCTAAGTTTTGCAGTTGTGTAAGCTTGTGCATAAAGTAGTTTTTTGCTGAAGAACAGGCCAGAGGATACCAGAAAAATAAGATCATTGAGTAAGAATGCCCAACTTGATTTCTTAGCCGGCCTTGTCCTCTTTCTCCCTTCCTTTTGCCCAAAACCCAGTCTTTCTGGAGAATATGAATATTACTGAATATTGGAGAAACTGGCACAAAGTTGTAGCACTGACAGTCATGATCTAAAAGTGCTCCTTGAGAGGAGTGATTTCACAGGTTAATATAGTATGTATTTCTTTAATAAGAAGCAACTAAGGGATGATCGTTATTAACCACATATAGTTGGAGACCTGAGCAAGTATTAGTTGCAACTTGTTAGCTACTAGCAAATGAGAAACATTAATTTTCAAAATACTGAAGAATGTAAGAAGAAGCAGAGGGACAAAATTAAGAAGCAAGCCATGTAGAGTGACTATCTATCTGGGAAAAAAATCTATGAGTGTTATAAACACTGGTAATAGAATAATCTCTCAATGGTACCAGTAGCAAGCTTCGTGTTTATGAGTTTTTAGAAGTAACATTTACAGACATTGTGCTAACAAACAAGAGCAAACAAGCATTTAATGACATGGAAAGATGGTATGAATTGGTCTGTTCTAATTTCCTAATTTCTGTATTTTAGTAACAGAGATTAGAAGATATTATTCGTGGTAGAATCCAGTCTGCCAAATTTAGCTATCTAGCCTCTGCCTGGTTTTCAACAAAGATGTCCTCCTAAAAGCAAGTCATTTCTCTGCAAAGCTGTCAGATGGAGATTCTGTTTAAATGCAAACTTAAGAAGTCTCCACATTGAACCATGTGAAGATTTGTAGATCAGGATTGGTTTGTGGTGTAAAAGAAAGAACTGTACATCTGGGAGCTATGTGGAAAGGGACATAGGGCAGGTGTAGAAATGGGGAGTTGTGATACGACACAACTAAACAGACCCCAGACTGCATACCCAGTTCACAGGCTACACGTGTCTCTGCTAGGTTTAGTTCAGCAAGGGGAAGTGCAAGTCCTGCACCTGGGGAGGAACAGGCCCAGGCACCAACATATGATGGGGCCATTTAGCTGGAAAGCAGCTTGGCAGGCTTTCCTGTCTGGGAGTCCTGGTGGGCATTACATTGACCATGAGCCAGCAGTGTGCCCTTGCTGCAAAGAAGGCTAATGGTGTCCTGGACTACATTAGGAAGAGTGTTGCTAGCAGGTCTAGGGAGGTGATGCTGCCCTTCTACTCAGTGCTGGTAAGGCTACACCTGAAGTACTGTGTCTAGATCTAGGCTCCTCAGTACAAGAAAGACATGTATGAGAGAGAGTCCAGTGAAGTGCCAAAAAGAAGATTAAGGGACTGAGTCATCTCTCCTATGAAGAAAAGACAAAAGAGCTGTTCAGCCTGGAGAAGAGATGGCTCAGAAGAATCTCATCAATATACACAAATATCTGAAGCAAGGGTGCAGAGAGGACATTCATTGGTGCCCAGTGACAGGCCCAGAGGCTATGGGCACAAACTGAAACACGGGAGGTTCCCTCTGAACATCAGGAAACACTTTTTCACTGTGAGGGTGGCCAAGCACTGATGCAGGTTGATTGTGGAGTCTCCATCCTTGGGGAATTCAAAAGCCATCTGGGTTTTTTGGATGACCATGGTCCTGGACAACAAGCTGTAGGTGGCCCTGCTTTAGCAGGCAGGTTGGACCAGATGACCTCACAGTATCACAGTATCACAGTATGCTAGAGATTGGAAGGGACCTCGAAAGATCATCTAGTCCAATCCCCCTGCCGGAGCAGGAACACCTAGATAAGGTTACACAGGAATGTGTCCAGGCGGGTTTTGAATGTCTCCAGGGAAGGAGACTCCACAACCTCCCTGGGCAGCCTGTTCCAGTGTTCTGTCACCCTCACTGAGAAGAAGTTTCTTCTCAAGTTTAAGTGGAACCTCTTGTGTTCCAGTTTGTACCCATTACCCCTTGTCCTATCATTGTTTGCCACTGAGTAGAGCCTGGGTCCATCCTTGTGACACTCCCCCTTTATATATTTATAGACACTTATAAGGTCACCCCTCAGTCTCCTCTTCTCCAAACTATAGAGACCCAGCTCCCTCAGTCTTTCCTCATAAGGGAAATGCTCCACTCCCTTAATCATCTTAGTTGCCCTGCGCTGGACTCTCTCCAGCAGCTCCCTGTCCTTCTTGAACTGAGGGGCCCAGAACTGGACACAATATTCCAGATGCGGTCTCACCAGGGCAGAGTAGAGGGCAAGGAGGACCTCTCTCGACCTACTAACCACTGCCCTTCTAATACACCCCAGGATGACATTGGCCGTCTTAGCCACAAGGGCACAGTGTTGGCTCATGGTCATCCTGTCGTCCACTAGGACCCCCAGGTCTGTCGTGGTTTAAACCCAGTCAGGTAACTCATTCGCTCACTTCCCCCCCTTTCTTGCCCTCCCCCTGCTCCCGGAGGGACGGAGAGGAGAATCGAAAAGAATGCAACTCCCACGGGTTGAGATAAGAACAGTTTAGTAACTAAGGTAAAACACAAATCACTACTGCTACCACCAATGATAATAATGATAAAGGAAATAACAAGGGAAGAGAATACAACACCTCAGCACTAGCTGACCGATCACTCGCCCCCCAAGCCCGACCATGCCTCCTCCAACCCTGCCGTCTCCCAGCCCTTCCGGCTAACTCCCAGTTACCTCCTGGGCATGATGTGCTGTGGTATGGAATACCTCTTTGGTCAGTTTGGTTCAGGTGCCCTGTCTCTGCTTCCTCCTGGCTTCCCCTCCTCCCTGGCAGAGCATGAGGCTCACAAAGTCCTTGGCTAAACCAAAACATTACTATCAGTTCTGTTCCCAGGCCGAAAGTCAAAACACAGCACTGCACCAGCTACCAAGAAGGGGAAAAATGACTGCTACTGCTGAACCCAGGACAAGGTCCCTCTCCCCTACACTGCTCTCTAACAGGTCGCTCCCCAACCTATACTGGAACCTGGGGTTGTTCCTGCCCAGATGCAGGACTCTACACTTTCCCTTGTTATATTTCATCAAGTTATTCCCTGCCCATCTCTCCAGCCTGTCCAGGTCTCGCTGGATGGCAGCACAGCCTTCTGGCGTGTCAGCCACTCCTCCCAGCTTAGTGTCATCAGCAAACTTGCTGATAGTACACTCAATTCCCTCATCTAAATCATTGATGAATATATTAAATAATACCGGTCCCAGTACTGACCCTTGAGGCACTCCACTAGTTACAGGCCTCCAACTAGACTCAGCCCCATAGACTACAACTCTCTGGCTTCTCTCCTTCAGCCAGTTCGCAGTCCACCTCACTACCTGATCATCCAGTCCACACTTCCTCAATTTAGCTGTGAGGATGCTGTGGGAGACTGTGTCAAATGCTTTGCTGAAGTCAAGGTAGACCACATCCACTGCTCTGCCATCATCCATCCACCGTGTTATTTCCTCATAAAAGGCTAAGAGATTGGTCAGACATGATTTCCCCCTGGTGAAGCCATGTTGACTGCCCCTCATAACCCTCTTATCCTTGATAATGCCTTAAGATGGCACCAAGGATAAGGTGTTCCATCACTTTCCCAGGGATGGAGGTGAGGCTGACCGGTCTATAGTTACCCGGGTCCTCCTTCTTGCCCTTTTTGAAGACTGGAGTGACATTTGCCTTCCTCCAGTCCTCAGGCACCTCTCCCATTTCCCAGGACTTGGTAAAGATGATGGAAAGTGGTCTAGCAATGACTTCCGCCAGTTCCCTCAGCACCCGCGGGTGCATCCCATCTGGACCCATGGATTTATGGATGTCCAGATTGCTCAACTCGTCTCTAACCCATTCCTCATCGACTAAGGCAAACCGCTCCGTTGACCTGACTTCATCTAAGGTCTCAGGGGTACAGGGCTCTTCAGGATTGCCTGCAGCAGAGTAGACAGAGACAAAGGCAGCATTCAGTAACTCTGCCATCTCTGTATCTTCTGTCACCAGGGCACCCATCCCATTCATCAGTGGGCCTACATTGCCTCTGGTGTTAGTTTTGTCTGCCATGTATTTGAAAAAGCTCTTCTTGCTGTCCTTGACCCTTCTCGCCAGGTTTAATTCTAAGGATGCCTTAGTCCTCCTAGATGTCTTCCTACATCCTCTAGCAGCAGCCTTATATTCCTCCCAAGTGGCCAGCCCCTCCTTCCATGACCTGTAAACTCTCCTCTTCCACTTGAGCATACCCAGCAATTCCCTATTTAGCCACGCAGGTCTCTTGGCCCTCTTCCTTGACTTCCTACGTGTCAGGATGCTCCGATCTTGAGCACGGAAAAAGCAATCCTTGAATGCCAACCAACTATCTTGGGCCCCTTTACCTTCAAGCAGCCTTGCCCATGGGATTTCCCCTAGCAATTGCTTGAAAAGGCCAAAGTTTGCCCTGCTAAAGTCCAGGGTTGCAATTCTACTTGGTATTCTACTAGTCCTACCACACAAGATCCTGAACTCCACCATCTCGTGGTCGCTGCAACCAAGGCAGCCCTCAACCCTTACTGCTTCAACCAGATCCTCCTTGTTAGTGAGGATGAGATCCAGCAGCGCTCCTCTCCTGGTCGGGTCATCCACCATTTGCAGGAGGAAGTTATCATCCACACACTGGAGGAACCTCCTGGACTGTGGCTGGGTTGCCGAGCGGTCCTTCCAGCAAACATCAGGGAAGTTAAAATCCCCCACGACGACCACGGCCTGTGACTGTGAGGCCGCTCTCAGCTGCCTGTAGAAGGCCTCGTCAACTTCCTCACCCTGATCCGGTGGTCTGTAACAGACACCTACAACAGTATCGCCCCTGCCAGCCTGCCCCTTAATTCTAACCCACAGACTCTCAACTCGCTCGTCATCTGTCCCTGGACAGAACTCAGTGCATTGTAGTTGCTCCCGCACATAAAGAGCAACCCCACCACCCCTCCTGGCTGGCCTGTCTTTCCTGAAAAAGACATAGCCCTCCATGACTATATTCCAGTCATGTGAGCTGTCCCACCACGTCTCTGTAACTGCCACCAGATCATAGTCTCCTGACTTAACACAGGTTACCAACTCCTCCTGCTTATTTCCCATGCTGCGCGCATTGGTGTACAGACATTCCAGGGAGCGAGCTGAGCACACTGATTTCACCCTAGGATTATAGGAGGCCTCCCAGTCTTCATTAATTCTGGAGTGCTGCCCCACTGGGGCAAGCCCAGCTACAACCCCATCCCCCTCCCCCTTCGAATCCAGTTTAAAGCTCTCCAAAGGAGCCCTGCTAATTCGTGCCCCAGCATCCTTTTGCCTCTGTGAGACAAACCTTTCCCACTTGTCATTGTCCAGACTGGTGCCCAATAAAACCAGCTGTTATCAAAGAATCCAAAGCCCTGCCTGTAGCACCAGTCTCGAAGCCAATCATTTATGAACTGAATCTTCCCATTCCTTCCCACATCATCAGTGGAAGATGGAAGGAGTGAGGAGAAGATCACTTGAGCCCCAGACTCTTTCACCATCCTCCCCAAGGCCCTGTAGTCTTTCTTCATCCCCCTCAGACTGCGGGAAGCAGCTTCCTCCCCACCTGTCTGGAAGACCAGCAGTGGGTAGTAGTCTGTTGGGTGTACCCGTCTGGGGAGCACCCTGGTGATATCCCTGATCCGGGCTCCAGGCAGACTACACACTTCCCTATGCTGAGGGTCAACTCTGCATATCGGGCCCTCTGTTCCTCTCAGAAGGGAATCCCCTACTACAATGACCCTTCTTTCTTTCTTAACAGAGGCAGTCTTGAGGTGCAAAGTCGACCCCCTTTTCCTATGTGGCCTTGTGGGCTGGCCTTGCCCCACATTCTCACCTACCTCTCCTTCAAGATCCAGGGCCTCGAACCTATTACGGAGGGACACCTGGGGAAGCAGGGCAGGAAGGGGGGAGGGTTTCCCATGACGTCGAACTGGAACTCGCTTCCAACCCTCGTCGTCTTTTTGGTCCCCTACCTCTGCGCAACAGCTACAGGGCAGGGGCTGTCTCGGGCCATCCCCCTCTGTGTGAGAAGGCAGGGGGTCCTTCCCCTTTTGGGGGTATCTCCCTGGAACCGTTCTGACTGGCACGCCAGGGAGTTACTCCACCAGTCGATCTCCCTTTCACACTCCCTGATGGTCCTCAGCGTTTCAACCTCCTGGTATCGCTACGTCTAGGCGGGATTCTGACTTAGAGGCGTTCAGTCATAAGCCCGCAGATGGTAGCCTCGCGCCAGTGGCTCCTCAGCCAAGCGCACACACCAGGGGTCTGAACCTGCGGTTCCTCTCGTACTGAGCAGGATTACTATTGCAACAACACATCATCAGTAGGGTAAAACTAACCTGTCTCACGACGGTCTAGAGATCTCTGACAAGCTCAGCCAATCTGTGATTCTGTGAAAGACGCCACTGTTTTGAGCTTGTAGCTGGCTAGGTTATTTTGGGTCAGTACCTGTTTCAGTTTAAACCTTTGACTGAAAAAATGTCAACACAGTGAAAGAAAAGGTCAGTCATTCCTTTATTAAACCTCCCCTCTTTTCCTGCTTGCTCTACCAAAAACCCTCCAGCCTGCCTGTGAAATACATATAAAAACCAGTCTGAGCCATTCTGGGGGTCTGTGCTTGAATTCAGATTGAAGCTCTGCCTTAAGAGGGCATTTTGGATGCCAGGAGTGTCAGGAAGCAAAGCAGCCCCTTAATCAGCTTGTAACTTACTTTATGCACGTGATCGCTTCCCTCTTCCACCTGGGTAGGATGCTGAAAGAGGTCATAGAGGACATGAAATGCTACCACTTGCCTTTAAGGCTAGACCTCTAGGGGCTGTAAATCAGCTTGATATCCAGAAATTCAAGAAAACTGGTCAATGGCCTTCAAAATATGGTGCATTTTGAGTGACTTATGATTTAGCAGATTCAATTTAAAACCATAATATGAAAAAATTCACATATGTGAAGGAAAGCCTCCTCCCCCTATGCATGCACACACACATACACTGCCCATCTCATATTTCTGAGTTATGGCTCTGCTGCAAACACTGCACAGGCTGTTGCAACCTTGGGGCTGTGTGCTGGGATCAAGATCTGGATCTGCTCAAGCTCATCTGAATAATTTCTAGAGGAGTCAACTGGACCTTCTCAAAATACAGCTTCTCTGGGACAAAGGCTTCAAATGGGAGGCTAATCACTGATGTGTGTTGTTTTGCAGCTGAAACTTTTCCCATTGCACTTGTGTGTTAGAAGCTGGAATTTGGCTTCCTGTCTGCCTAGTTTCTGCCTGAAGCAAAGTTTTTATGACTGAGCTGTGAAGCCCTTAGTGGAGACGGTTGTAAAAAAGAGCTTACAGCCTTTTTAACTAATTGTGGCCTTACCAGTGATTACCATAATTTTCTGAATTTATTTTTAACTTTTTTGTCCCCTCTGATCTCACTCCATGTCCCCAAGTGAGTCGGAGCTGGAGTAGGAGTGTAAGGAACAGTGATGAAAATACAAAAAAGAAGATTCTGGGGAAAGATTTTACAGCTTTCACAGTTTCCTACTCACCTCTCCAGACTTTGGATAGGGCTCTCATGAGCCACTCAGAAACAGAAGGGATGGCGAGGTCACTGAGATGCTAATGCTCCTTTTCC